TATGTGTCTACGGTATAAACTTTGAGTAAGTTGTCAGGCTAGCAGTTAGAGAAATGTTCCTTGTTCATATTTTTGCAAACTATTTGTAATAAACTAATTGTGTTCTTTGCCACAGGAACCAATTTTTGATAACTAAATTATATTTTGATATTTACTGTTGTATTTTTTATGTAGATGCATAATTTGTGAATTATAATATTTGACATTATCTGGATATTGCTGTTCAGTTTTGTCCAATGTCGCCTAATGTCGCCCAGTTTCGCCCAGCGTCGCACACTACTTTTCTTTGAAAATTGCCAATGTCGCCTAATGTCGCACAATGTTGCACATAATAACGGCGACCTTGGCCCCCAAAGTAGGCCTAGTAACGTAAATAATTTCGGTTCTTCGGAAAACATTCATTATTTCTTCCATTAAGCTATGACAGTTTGTTAAACTAGCTGCAGTTGTGTATGTGAAGATGTCATGTTTTGATTGACCTGTTTCCTATAGTTTGTCTTGTGGGCAGATCTGTTTAAACAGGGCAGCTGCCTCATGAACACTGACCTTTCACGTGTAGAACCGTAGAAACGATCGTATAAAAGGAGGAGCTCAGCTCAAACCAAGAAGAGACTATAGACTATAGAGTGGACATCTAGTGGACACAAGTATACTATAGAGAGGAAGCAAGCTGAATAAAGCTTAACTGATGAAAAGCTGCAGAAAATCAAACGAAACAAACGAACGACGAAGAAATTAACGAACATATCACGAACGGTGAAACCTGCTCAAGTGAACTTAGAAAACTACTCCACGAAGACGAACATGAAGAACTGATAGTCATTAGAGATTGATTGTAACGATTCACTACCTAAATAAAGCCTCGTAACATTACTGTCAGTTGTTCCCTGGGGATATGTCCCCCAGAGATAAGACCTCCGGGATCTTGGGGACTCTATTTTGTTATAAGTTTTTGTGTGCCTTGTTGTAAATCCAGATGGCTTTTTTCACCGGTATGGCTTTTTTCCACTAGGCGGATTTTGCACGTGGAGCGGAATTTTTCTTTGTCTTGTGATTTCTCGGGTGGAACTAATTAGAAAAGACAAAGAAAAATTCCGCTCCGCGTGCAAAATTCCGCCTAGTGGAAAACAGGCTTAAGAGTTTTATGAAAAGTGCGAGCATTTTCTACATGGTCATCAGAAACCTGATGGTGAATAGAGGAAATTAGCTAGATTGTGTTTTGTTTTGTCCCGGAGTATTGACCACGCACGTACATGTATGTGATGTGTACACCATAGGTTATTTCGATTCGCGACTCGTTAGTGGAAAGCAAATATAAAAACGCAGTTTCATGCTTTATAGTGTGAACACAAAATGTGCAAGTGAGGCTGACTAATACTCGGGAAATCGCGATGATTTCCGACGATGTCCGGTTTCGATACGAGTGTAACCAGAACGCGTTCCGCAGATGCGTTCCGGTAACAGTGGAACGCAAATGGAACGCAAATGGAACGCGAATGGAACGCGAATGGAACGCGAATGGAACGCGAATGGAACGCGAATGGAACGCGAATGGAACGCGAATGGAACGCATTTAGGAACGCGTTCCGGACGCGTTCGGGACGCGTTCCGAGCGCGTTTTCTGTTAGGTTATTTCTGAGCAGTACTGTATGTCTGATAGTCCATCTGTATGCCATAGCCTTCAAATATCTACATATAAAAGCAAATCCACTGAAATAGTGTTTTTGGCTTGTACAACCTTTTTTCAATGCAGCAAAACATTAACCCATTAACATCCAAGACTTTTCCATTGACAAATAAAATCGTCTGGCGTTAGATAGAGAAAACACCAAAGTATAAGGCGCATTAAAGGTTATAAAAAATACATACTGATTGTTTTGCATGTGTAGCTTATAATATGCTTGATGTTTCTGCCTTGATCACTTCTTTGCTTGTATGTTCTTCCTTGCCTATCTTTTAATAGTAATCCAATATGTTCCACAACAACGGTCTTGGATCGATAGTCTTCAACCTGGGTTGTGCATGCTATGTTCTCTAAGTGCCCAAACTTGTCCACTATCTTATCGATTTCTGCACAACACCTATATGCTCTCTCGTCCCGTTTAAAGAACTGGTATCGCACATGTTACAAGAGCACCTAAAATCGTGGGTCTTTATGAGTATACATGAATAGGAATTTTCATAAACTGTCTGAGTCTGACAGACTGCAGAACGAAGTTTGATATAATACGAAAACGAGTTATACGCATTCGCTTGTCACTGTTCAAAATATATATAAATATAATATGTAGGCTATAAAGAAGACGGACCTCATTTTGAGAAATTAACACATTTCGGCTTGGTACTTATACGGTACTTGTGACTGTGCTGAATTATTTATATATTTCTATAATTTAGCTAAATTATACATACCATTCGTTTGTGGGAATCGCGTTACCAAATCTCTCTTGAAGAGCTATGTCGACTTCGTCTTCGAATTCTTGCTCTATTTCGTCCCGCGTTAATATCGGCTCGTCGCGTATGGTGCATGCAAGAATGTCGCCCATATTTTATTGCAGAGCTCCGCAATCGGAATCAATATAGCTTTCGTATTCATCTTCTGAACTCAAATTGTTGTTAATACACTGTTAATTTCAGGGTGTTAAAATAACACCTCGGGTGGTGTTAGATTAACACCAACTGGTGGTGTGAAACAAAGGTGTTATTTTAGCACCCTTTTTCGGTGCTAATTTAACACGACATAAATAAAAATATTTTGCAAAGTGTTAATTTAACACTCAAATTGTTTAACACCACTTTAGAGGTGTTAAAATAACACCCACTTAAGGAC